ATAACAACAACAAACAACATATCTAGTTATGTGATATCTTAGAGAAACATTCTTCCACTTTGCACATCACTCTGTCAATGTGCTGTATGAGGTAACCTGGGTTTGCTGTGATGCCAAACCTTGTGCCATGGGGATATCAAATTCCAGAATGGTTTCCCATTGTGGACAGTGTCTGGTGGAGCGCCCAGTTATAAAACAAGCAGAGAAGCAGGAGTGGCAACTACTTCCTAAACCACAAGCCTCTGAAAACTATGAACTTGGAGAAACAAAGATAGCTGTGGAAAGGCATTAGGTCTTTTGTTCACAGAGTTGCTATGAGTTGATCTTGACTTGACAGTAATTAACAACAACAACAACCACCTCACTCACAGCTATGAAGAGGGAGTGCTCACAGCTGAGTTTCTTGCGGGTTTTGAGAGGCACAAAATGACACAGGAGAAGGCTGCTCATTGCTTCTCTGAGGGGCTGCTGCTGGATTCGAACAGCTACGGAGGCGTGGCTGGGGTGGATGAGGCCACTGGCGTCCCCACCAAGTGTGATAGGAGAAAGGAATTTTGCAGTCAACTGAATTTAGGGGCTAGTTAGTTTAAAAACAGTAAACAGGTTTCAGACTGGTTTAAACCAGCTTTCATCATGACTGCTAGCTTCCAGATGGGGAGCTGAGGCTTGGCAAGAGGTTAAGGTGCTTGGTGGGGTAGAACGGGGATCTTGACGCCTGCGGGTGGCTTCAGCCCACCTTCTGGACAACTTGGTCACACCAGCCTCCCCCTGACCTCCTGCCTGGAGGGACTGAGCCCTGGACACCCTCTACGAAAGACTCATTCAGCCTTGTTTCTCATTCAGCCGGACTCACCATTCTTCTCGACGGGCACGTGGCAGCGGGGACAGGGCTTGGTGGTTTTCTTGATGGTCTCTTTGGAGGCCTCTTCCCAGCGCGCACGCTCCGCTGCCTTGGCGTCCACTCTGTAGCCCTGGGAAGATGCAGGGACAATGAGGGTCAGTGTGGGGACATCAGTGTGGGCCACCACATTCCTTGTTTTCATATCAAACCTCTTTGCAACACTGTCCTGGGGGCTCAAAGCGGGAAGAGTCTCTGAGGAAACAGCTTCCCTGGGAAGACATTTGATTGCTCGCTTCCTCGCTCACTGTCCTTGAACTGACAGTGACTCATAGTGACCCTCTATCAGCTTTCACTGCTGTAAATCTTAACAGGAGACGGCCCACTTTTCTTCCCAGGAGCTCCTGATGGATTCGAACCGTCACAGATGCATGGCCTTCTGATTAATGGCGTGGCGCACTGTGACCTCCGTCACCGGGGTTCCTATTTGACCAGTGGTGTGCCCTCGTGCATAAACACACAACACAATTGTTTGTTGGGGGTTTCCCCCACGTGATGCAAACTTATAACAGGAGACTTAACCGAGTTCTAGAGTTCTTCATGTTATTTTAAATAATTGTAATAAATAGTCCTTCTGAGATTTGATGCATTAAAACTGTGGTGAAGGACATAGAATATACTATTACGCCCAGAACAAACACTCTTAGGAGAAATACAGCCAGAATGTTTCTGAGGAGAATGGTAAGAGTTTGAACACAGCGCTAGGAGAGACCAGCTGACAGAGGAAGACAGCATGTTTGGACAGTAGAGAGAGGGTCAGGGGAGAGAGGGGACCCCGACAAGCAGTTCCCTTTCCTTTTCCACTACTTGTTTTATTTTGGGGGAGAAAGTGCAGCCACAGTGCTCCTTGGAGGCACGGATGGTGTACTTTATCTCACCCGCTTTAGGCATGTTGGTTGGAGGGTCCTTGGAAAAGGACATTTTACTGGAGAAAATAGCAGGTCACTGAAGGAGAGGAAGACCCTCAACGAGACGGACGGACACAGTGACTGCAGCAGTGCGCTCCAGTGTGTCAGAGAAGGTGAGGATGGCACAGGTAGGACAGGGCTCAGGTGTGTTGTTCACCAGCGCCCTGAACAGCCCTGCAGGTGCTGTTTCCTTCAGGGATCTGGCGCCATCTGGTGGACATACCTTGCCATGCCGCTTAGAAATGAAACTAGACTGAATTCTCCCAGGAGATAGAGTGTGTGTGTGTGTGTGTGTGTGTGTGTGTGTGTGTGTGTTAATGAGAAGAGTATTTGTGCTCATAAGATTGAGAGAAAGAGCATGAGGATAAAGAAAGAGAGAGTATGTGTGGGGTCTCATATACTTTGGGCATGTCACTAGGAGGGGTCAGTCCCTGCAGGAAGAAGGGTCAGAGAATGAGAGATGGGTCGACACAACAACTGTAACAATTAGCTCCAGTATAAGGGAGACCTAAGGGTGCTGAGGGGCACGGCAAGGCTGAGATCTGCTGTTCACGGGGTGCAACGCCTCATCGTCGACCCGGCGGCACCTAACAACAACAACAACAATCCCATATGAATGGTGTTCTAGATACACAGGCCAGGGCACAGAGCAGATGCCCACGTAAGGAGGAAGGCAGACACTGGGATGGAGCTCTGAGAGGCTGGGCCACCAAGGCCAGCCAAGATCCACCAGGAGCCAGAAGACCCAGGAAGGGTCTCCCCCAAACCTTCCATGGGAGCACGGCTCTGCCGATACTTTGCTTTTGGATTCTGCCTTCCTGAGCTTGAGGACAATCCACCTCTGATGTGTTTTTTAACTAATTTTAATGAAAGTTTACAGAAACATGGGGTTTCCAGTCATTCATTGTTGTACTTTTCTCCTTGCCCACTCCTTCCCCCAATTCACTCTTCCCCTTGAAAAGTAAAAGAAAACCTCTTTCATTGTTATGCAAAGTGGCCCACTTTGTGGCTCTGGTAAACAAGTCAGGGGTTTATTGTGGTTTCTCTTGTAGCTCAGAAGCTTACAGGGACAAGAGCAGCTAACTCTCAGAGCAACTGCCTCCCTGGGAGGAGAAGGGAGAAGGGCATGCACATCCAACAAGCCCTTCCGAGCACCTTCTCCGTGCGGGGCCCTGGAGGTCAGCTGACGGACCAGATACTCAGGGTTAAAATGCTCCTCACACAAAAACAGGGCAATCTCTTCCCATGATTCACAGTCTCTGAAAAACCACTGGAGGGGCAGCTCTGGGTCGGTTCCAACTTGACAGTATACAGCAACAACCACAACCAGGTTAACAAAGCTCAGGTGGTGAGAAAGAGGAAATCCAGGCTTCAGAGCACTGAATGTTGGAGCATTTTATCACACATCATTTGACAGATGGAGTGTTTTAGAAATGGCAGGTTGGTGGCCCCCTGCAGGAAGTACGCCTATTAGCACCATTTCCCCCGCAGCATGGGCTCGGTCCACGTCTCTGTATCCTGTTTGGGTCACTTACACCAGATCGCAAACTATCCTGATGCTATTGCATGCCTGCAAACGAAAAAGGCACCCACTGCTTTTTGGGGATTCTAACTCGCGGTGGGCCCCCACTCGGTTTCTGAGGTTGTAGGTCTTATTGGATCCAGGCTGCCTGACATTTATCCCAGCAGATAGAGTACCAAAGCAGAAACCACTGCTGTTGTACTCCAACCACGGCAGCCCTGGGGGCCAGAGTGGAACCACTCCACACACAGTGAATCGCTAGGGGACAGACTGCCACAGCTTTCTCATGTGGAGTGGCTGGGGGATTCAAACCACTGATCCTTTAGTGAACAGATGAGTGCTTTAACCCCTACACCAGCAGGACCTTTTAAATAAACTACAGTATAAGAAGGCACACCTTTGAAAGAGTATCCTCTGGACTGCTGAAAAAAACCAACAGGTCTGTCCTGGAGGAAGTGAAACCAGTGTGCTCGTTAGAGGCTGCAAGGCTGGGGAAATGCCCTCTCACATACTTTGGACATGTTGTCACGGAGGGCCGGTCCTCGGGAAAGGCGTCACGCTGGGAAATGTGGAGGGGCCATGAAAGAGGAAGGCCCCGGACAAGGTGGACTGACCCAGTGACGCTAACATAGGGCTCGAGGAGATCGGAGATGGGGTGAAAGGTGCAGGACAGGGCGAGATTCACGGTGGACTTGGTGGCACCTAACAACAACAACAACAGTGAAAGCACAACTAGTATATGCTCTGGGCAACCAAACCCATCTGTGCAACTTGGTCTCTGTGATACTTTTTTTTTAACGGTGGTTTAGAAGAGCTTGAGTGTCAGTGGAGCAGCGACTGACCCCCACTGGGCAGCTGGGCTGGTAGAGGAGGGGCATGAGCTGGGCTTCAAGGCTGAGTGGGAGCTTGGCAGGCATGCTCCTTTATAATTCTGTAGGTTTATGAATCAGGGCAAGCAATCAGTATCCCCAAAGGACTCTTCAGTCTGATGGTGGAAGATGCTGTCCCTGTGGCTTCAGAGAGACCCATTAGAAATCGAGGACCTTCACCCACCCTCCCTTTAACAAGAGGGAGCAACACTGCCTATGTGCAACCACTGGAGGACACACCAATTTCTGTGGCTTACAAGAGCAAGTGTTTACTTATTAGAAAGTCTCTGGAGAGAAAACGAGGCAGGAAAGGGAACCTGGGATGAGAGCAAACAGGCAGGAACAAGCGGAAGCAAATGGAATTGGATCCCGATTAGCCTGTGATGCATTGATCTTCTGCCACGGATTTCCCAAACGCCCTGCCATTCCAGCGTGAAGCTTGTTCAGTATTCTAAGACCAATGTCTGGCTTTGCTTTTATATTAAAAAAAATTCTATTAATCAAGACATGCATTACATTTTGTGTCAGAAGGCCCCATTGGTAGATAGGCCTCTTGGGGGGAGGAAAAGTTCTGCTGGGGTGGGTCATGTCACGTCCAAGTGCAATGTCACATCCGAGTGCAGATGCTGCTCAGCTTGGAAGGGAGGGTGTCAGAGGGAGGTCACGGACAGAAAGAAGAGGCCTCACAGGCAGACGGAGCGGAATGGAAAACGTGCACAAGAGTCAGTGGTATTGGAAGAAGACGTTGAAGCCACGCTGAAGGCTTTGACAAAATAGGCCCAAGAATCAATGGGGTACTGACTGACATGTTTGAACTAACAGACGCAGCCCTGGATGTGCTCACCAGTTTATGCCAGGAAATTCTGAGGATAACTGTCTGGCCGACTGACTGGAAGAGATCCGTTATTTATTCCCATCCCCAAGAATGGTGATCCAACAGAATGTGGAAATTATTGAACAATATCATCAATATCACATGCAAGTAAAATCCTGCTGAAGATCATTCAAGATGGCTAGAACAGTACACAGACAGGGAACTGCTAAATCCAGCAGGATTTGGAAGAGGCTGTGGGACCAGGGATAGCATTGCTGATGGATCCCGGCTATTACTCAGCCAGCGTCTGTGGACCATCTGGGTACCGGGTGTTGTCCAGGAACTTCTGGTGTAGAGGTGATTAGAAGACGAGTCTATCTACCATAACCAACATCCAAGCAGACATCCGCATAACCATGTTTATCGCAGCTTTGTTCACAATAGCAAGGAATTGGAAACAAGTTAAGTGCCCATTTACAAACGAATGGATAGAGAAGCTATGGTATATTCACACAACGGAATACTTCGCTGCATTGAAAAACAAGGATCTCATGAAATATAATTAAAAATGGGTGACCCTGGAGGACATTATGCTGAGTGAAATATCTCAGTCACAAAAGGACAAATACAGCATGCTGCCACTGTTGTAGAATGAGGCTGACATCAGGGTGGGGGTAAGACTGAGAAAAACTGGATAAATTACGTATACTACATTGAAGCTGATGAGGGAGAGAACAGTTTAAAAAGAATATATTTTAGGGCATTATGATTATCATGAGAGTTTGGATTGGGGGTTACAGAATGG